AACGCCAGCGGCAGAACCAAAGGGGCGGTTCACAGCCGGCTGCATTTGTTTGGGAGACTCGTGCCTTAAAAGGACTCCTTTCTCCCCTCTGGGAATCCCTAAATCTGGCTCCAGCTGGCATGGCCATGGGTGCTGTGCACAGTCCCCTCTGCCCCAGGCCGCACCTTGACGAGTGTCTCCAGCAGGTAGTTGACAGTGATCCAGCCAAAGGTGCCCTCCTCATCCCCTGTGAGGATCTGGGCTCCACGGAAGTCCACGGGGTACTGGCGAATAGCCTTGGCGACCTCGGCAAAGACCTGCTCCGCTTTGGTGCTGTTCTGCTCCCTACCGAGGGAAGGAGAGAGAGGCCGTGGGGTGGACGAGGCCGTTGCTGTGGGTTTGCAGAGCTGGCTCACATGCAAGGGCTGGAATCTCCTGCACAGGAATGGGACTGCCCAGAGAGAGGATCTGTCCCTCCACCCATATTCTCCCCTGTCTGGGTGCTGCCTCTGCCCTCCAGCTACCAGACCAAGGGCACTGGGAGTCTCCCTAAACCGCTTACAGCTGCCTTTGTGTGCGCATGTCTGCCCACTCCGCCCCACGAGCTCCCTCTTCCTCATCCTCTTACAGCACGACAACCCATCGCGCTCCCCTGCAAGCACGCCAAGCCAGCTCTGCTGCACATCACGGGCAGACTGCGCCAATGGATGCTTGCCCACAGCAAGGCACAGCCTCCCACCATGGGGCAGCTGCTCCTGCACACCAGCACCCCGTCCCCCAGCCTGCAGGGGCCCTCATGGGCAGCAGGAGCGCGCGGGAGGGAAGGGCTGCCGGGGGCACCGGGCTCGCCAGGAGGTGCCTCCTACCTCAGCAGCCTCATGCCCGCTGTGGCCCCAAGGTACGTGGGGGTCTCCTTCTGCAGCTTTGCTGGGACAATCGTCATGGCCTTGTCTAGGCAGGGCTTCAGGCTGGCTCCAGCCAGAGCAGGGCTGTCTGCATAGCTGGAGATGCCAGGTCCTGAAACATGACCTCCCATGAGGGAGCAAACTCAGCTCGACTCAGGAGGGGCAGAGGACAGACACTTCACCCACAGAGCCAGAAAATCATCAAGGGATTTTCCCTGTGTCCTCAGGATAAAGGTGCCAGGTTTTCCAAGTTTGTCAAAGCTAGTCAGCCTAGAGGCAACATTCTTGGTATGGCCATGGCATGCTGGAAGAGCTGCTGGTGAGCTCCTGGTCTCAAAGGTGGGAGAGAACCAGTGTGGCTATCTTCTGATGCTAAGCACATGCATAAGCCAGGGTGTCTGTAGAGCCTGGACATGGCTCTCTGGTCCTACATGACTTGCCCTGTAAATGGGCAGCTCCTTATTTCCCCTGAAAAGGAGAAGACTCCCATTAGTCCTGCCAGGAGGACTTGCAGAGTCAATAGACACAGAGGTGCCCTCTGCTCAAGTAGACTCAGACAAACTTGTTCTATTTTTAGAGACTGGCATCAGACTTTAGCTTTCAGCAAGGTCCTGTGCTATCTGGGAACTAGCTCTGGAATGGAAATATCACTATTTACCTTCTCCAGGACTTTGCATGCCAATAATGCCATTAGCTCAAGTGCTCTCTTTCTTACCCTTTGCCCTCTCCCAGACCTTTGCCTTGCATCTCAGTTAACCAGTAACTGGCACACAGTAGCCTTAGAGCCTTGATTGGATGTAGAGACAAGCTCTGAATTCTCTTACTCCTCTGCCCAAGGATCTCTGGCCTGGCTTACTGCTGTCTGCTCATCCCAGCCCAGCTCCATGTATCATCCAGCTCTTGCTATCAGCCCCGCTAGTCTGGTCTTTTCTTCCAAACAGAAGAATCCTTGTCGCAAAGCCAGAAAGCATAAAATCATAGAATCATTATGACTGGAAAAAAAGATCATTGAGCGCAACCATAAACTCTTCAACACCATACCTGCTAAACCACCTCTCTAAGTGCCTCATCTACATCTTTATGATTGATAGAAACAAATGCCCCTGGACATGAGAATCAGCCCACTTGCCTTCAGTGTGTGTGTGGCAAGACAGGGAGCCAGTCCAGCAGACTAGCTCCTCTCAGTCACCAGCCCATGGAGCTCCAAGACCTGGCATGTGCGGACAGCCACTGTGGCCAGCCAGACCCAACACACTGAGTCAAGGGGAGGCAGTGGGACAAGGATGGACGCGTCCGGTTACACTGACCAGACACGGCACAGGCCTCCACCTGGCTGACGATGCCTGTGCCATTCTCCTTTTCTGCTGGCCACTGGTAGATGTAGAGCGATGTGTGTGTGGAGCCAGCATCGAACACCAGGCCGTACTGCAGGGAAGCAGAATCAGAGAATCATTATAGTTGGAAAAGACCTTCAAGATCATCAAGTCCAACCGTAAGCCCATCACCACCCTGTCTGCTAAATCATGTCCCTAAGTGCCTCATCTACACATTTCTTGAACACTTCCAGGGATGGTGACTCCACCACTCCCTGAGCAGCCTATTCCAATGCTTGACTACTCTTTCCATGTAGAAATTATTCCTAATATCTAACCTGAACCCCCTTGGTGCAATTTGAGGCCATTTCGTCTTGTCGTATTTTTGGTAGTTATTTTGAAGAAAAGATCAACCCCCGCCTCACTACAACCTCCTTTCAGGTGGTTGTAGAGAGCAATAAGGTCACCCCTCAGCTTCCTCTTCTCTGGACTAAATAATCCCAGCTCCCTCAGCCGCTCCTCATAAGATTTGTACTCCAGCCACTTTACCGGCTTCATTACTCTTCTTTGGACACGCTGCAAAGCATGTATTTCTATCTTTCTTATAGTGATAGACACGTTCCTTCAAATAGCTGAGTTCCTTGCAAGGATCCTACCTTGGTGCTGGGTGGCAGAAATACTTTCTTCACATTTACGACAGTCAGTAGGAGGGCAATGATGCTGAAGATACAGGTGGCTACCAGGAGATATGCCACAAACTTGCCTTTCTGCTCCATTCTTCTTTCAACCTGCAAGAACAGCCCCGTCCCCCTGCTCAGTATCACTGTGTTTGAAATGCAAGTCTCATTAATGGATACAGGACTTCTCAGGGTGTGATTTCTCTCATGTCCTACCAAGAGCTTGAAGCCATTCTGTGTTGGTGCTATAGGAAGGACTTCACAGTCTAGGACTAGGGACACCCTCTCTCTCTGTGAGTTTTCCTAATCTGTGTAATTTTCAGCTTGACATTTTCAGCTCTTTTAAACCTTAGCCCCTGCTTCCCCATTCAGGCTCTTCTCTCCACACAGTCTGGATCCCTCTGCTCCACTTAATCTAACAGCTGGGTGACAGGTCAGCATCACTCTATCCAGTAGCATCAACAGGGTAGGCATGGCAGAGGCTAACCTGAGTCACAGACTGGGAGAGGGACCATACAATGGCAGGTCCCCAAGGGAGCCATCCCCTGTGGGATATGCCGCACTGCAGCTCTCCGGACCTGCATGCTGCTGTCATACCCTGCACTCTCATAAAACTTGTCCCGTGAGACTAAGCACCAGCAGGACATATATATTGCCCAATAGTCCCATGACTGCCCCAAGAGACTTCTCTCTCCTTCAGGCTGGGGAACAGTATCACCTTGGCCGTGTGACTCCTTCTGCCTTGTCCAGATCTGCTTGGCTCTTGGCAAATACACAGCAGGTAAGCAAACACACAGGAACTGTGTCCCAGCTGCAGGTGATCTCCAAGCCCTTCCCGTAGTCCAAAGGGCAGGCTGAAATGTGTTAGAGTAAGAAAGTTCCCACTATTTGGGGTGCACGTGAGCCCACTAACCAAGATGGCTCTGTGCAGACAGATACGGTATTTTACATGAAAGTCAAGGCCAGCAGGGCACTGAAGAGCCCTGAGGAAATGCAGTGCTGCACCTCCCCATTACTTGAGCAGGAGCTCAGCTCCTGATAGAATCAGCCCTAACACATCAGCAAGAAATTGCAGATGAGAAGCTAATTCAGAGGATCTGGCTCTCTGCAACAGCTTCAACATACAGTAGGTAACACATCCCCATGGACAGCGCAGGTCTTCAAAACACGCAAACCTCTCCTATGTCTTCCTCCATCACCCTGCTTCCTCCAGTCAGCATGCACCAGCAGGGAGTGAGGCTAACCTACATCTGGGTAACAACCCAGGGTTGCAATCCAGATTCTAGATGAGTGACAGACACCCCAAGAGTCCTGGACAAAAATGTGTTTAATCCCCAAAAATGTGTTAAACCTAACCAGTGCTTTGGGCCTGGGAGATGTCACTTGTTATGAAGTTTTCCTGGGAGTACATAGAATGATAAGAATTCCCTTGCCTCTCAGCCACAGCAGGAGAGGAAAGATATTTAGCAATGTCCTGTTTTGAAGTCAGCATCTCCAGTGATGAAAAAGGGCTCTCAATGCCTTGTATAACATGGGCTGTGTCATGAGGAATAGCAGTCATTCTCCTATGTCCCACATACTTCAAATAGGGAACACAGGATTACAAGAAATCTTTACCAAACTCTTTCCTACAGCCAAGAGCCCTTCTCTGTATGGTAGATGTGGCAAGAAAAATTGTATATAGAAGTTTTTTTTAATTCTCCTGTCATCACATCTCTAGTCGGATTAGCCTTTGTACTAGGAGCTTTATAGGCAGGACCTTGCTTGCAATAGTCCAGTGTGGACATAGCTTCTCTGGCTTCACCATGCTTGCTGGCAAAGTACTTGTCTGCATTAGAGTTTGTGTGGACATAAATGTGTCTTTGGGAAGTAATCGCTCTGCTACACTGAAGTAAGGCCCCTAGTCCAGTCTACATCCTAAAAAAAAAAGTCTGTCTGTAGCACTATGTGATGAATCAGCAAGGACTTGTTTAATTTCTGTGCCACCATGCATGCAGAAGCAGGTGGGAAACCAGCTCTACAAGCTTTTCCTCAGGACAAATTTCTATTTTGACTCTGCAGCAGGTAACACCTGAAGGAAGCAGAGTCCATGAGGCCCAAGAGAGGAGAGAAGGACATGGGAAATGAGCCCGGGAAGACAAAAGCAAAGAAGGAGGAGCACAAAAAGTTGATTGAACTACTCAGTGTTTCAGTGGCACCTCAGGGATGACAGGCAGTGATAGCCCATTGCCCTTAGGAAACAAGCTCAGAGCATGAACAGAAGGAATAGGGTGGCACTGGTGATGTTCCCAAAGTTAAGATAAGAAAAAAAAAAGAAAGAAAGAAAGAAAGAAAGAAAGAAAGAAAGAAAGAAAGAAAGAAAGAAAGAAAGAAAGAAAGAAAGAAAGAAAGAAAAAAACAAATGGTGTGTTCCTGCATGGCTCTGAAGGAAGTAATCCCAGAGAGTTCGACTTGCTAGTAGGGAGAGTTTGCAGCTGTGCATAACACTTCGGTTTTTCTTATACTAGCTTATTGGTTGGGCACAATAAAGTGTTGTATAAACATCTGTATGTTCCTGCACAATAAAGTGTTGTATAAACATCTGTAGGATATCATTCATCTTGTATAAACACGGGATATCATTCATCTTGCAGTGTTCATCACTAGGAGGGAGGGTGGCCTTAAAATTCAGGAGATTTAAAGACAGTGCTGCATTTAAACTGTGTGTTTCTTAGGAAAACATAAAACTGGATTTCCCCACCACACAGATTTGAGATTTGGAAGTCAGAAGGGCTCTTAAGATCTATAAGAAAGGGGACATATTTGTACATTGAGCGATCCCCTCCCTCCCATCTCTCTCCTAGCTTACGAGCTCCACAGTGTCACCAGTGCCCTGAGCCCCGACATGGCAGGGACATGGCAGGGTGAACGACCAGCATTTCAAGACACAGCTCTGCTGGGAAATCCCAGCCATCTCTCTCCAGCTTCTCCTAGCAAGAAGCCAGCGGTGCATGCTCATGCCCTGGCACCCGGCTCTGAGGTGGGTCTCAGCCCACCCTTGAACGGTCTCCGCTAGCAGAGACACATTTCCAGTGCGACAATATCCCTGGCACCCTCCGCTGCTCACCTGTGCTGCTCCCTGCTTGGGCGACGCACGGCTGGGGCTGGGTGTTGTGGTGGTGTCAGTGCACACCTGGGAGTGCGGAGCCCCACTCCTGGGACAAAGGCTGTCCCGGAGTGCCCAGGATATGGCCCTCCCCTTGGCCCAGGACCAACAGCCTGCCCAGGGAGGCAGCTCGGCCAGGAGGTGGCAGAAAAGCAGAGACATGGCTCTTGGTTGGAGAGTCAGCACTGAAAGAGCCACTAGGATTAACCACGTACTCACTGCTGGGCACAGCAGCCTGTCCTGCCAGGCTGAGACCCTCTGGTTCTGGGTCCACACACTGTCCTGCAGCACAGAGGGGTTCAGTATGGGTGTAGCTATTCCTGAGGTTCACAATGAGTGGGGATGAGGGTGATGAGGTACCACCTGAGAGGGGCTTGTGTCCTACCGATGTCCCTGCCCACAACAGTGCTGCTATCACCGAGCTCTGCCGGCACTAGCACTGCAGGCAGAGCCAGAGGGGCCCAGGACCAAAACGGGAGGGCTGTGGCAGGCAGGGCCCCCTTCCATGGCCTGAGGACCTGTTACAGGAGCTGATGCAGATGCCTGTGGGAAGGGGCAATGCTCCTGCCCTGAGCACAGCTGCTGCAACTGCTCTGGGAGAGCCGCGGCGGCTCCTGTTGCAGTGGAACACTGCAAAGCGCCCGCCCCGGGGCCGGATGGTGAGGAGGGGCAACCCGGACATCCGAGCGAGGTTCTACTTTCACTTTGAGTCCCTGCAGAGTCCTTCTGGCAGGGCTGGACTCCAGCAGGGCCCCGCAGACACAGGGCTGCCACCGCTGCCTCCCTTCATCCGCATCTCCTGTCCCTGCCCCAAGGCCAGGCCTGGGGACAGTTTTGCCTGGGACGCCTTGGAGCCTGCTCAGTCCTGAGCAGCTCAGTGCACCTACAGCCAAAGGAGCGGGACTCCAGGTCGCAGGTACGGCGGGGGTGGCCGCGCTTGCCTGCCACCCCTCCCTAGGGCTGGGCATGAAGCGCAGAAGTGCAGCCTTTGACCTGCCCTTCCCATAGGAGGGAGTTCCTGGTGCGAGCACCCAGCGCCGCTTCCCCGCAGCGAGTCCTGGGCCTCGAGAGGGCCAGACCCTCACAGCTCAGTTTCAGGGCTCCCTAGCGCCTGGGATTTCTCCCCTGCCTTTCAGAGAGGAGAGTTTGGAGGCTGTGCCGGCTCGCAGGAGGGCACCATAGTGTCTACGTTCAGAGTGACTCGGCCTCCGCCCTCTGGGCCTGAAGCCCCGGGGTGGCACATCCCCGCCAAGGCACCGCTGCTGCCACCAGGTGCCTTTTTAGCAACTAGGCAGCTCTGGGGATTGCGGGGAAAACAGGGAAGGAGCCGGAGACACTGGGGCAGACACTTGGGCTGGCGCTGCCTCACATGATCTCTTCTCGTTACAGCTCAGCACAGCAATGTCGAGGTGCCTGCTAAAGGGAGATGCCCGGTATCTAACAGCTCTGCTGGCGTTGCTGGGAATTATCTCCCTCTGCCTGGTGCTGGCTCCAGTGAAGGACATTTTCCTTCCTCCGAGGACTAATGTAGGTGCACAGTGGGGGCTGGAAGAGGTCTGGAACAACTGACGACCTTTTCTCACCTCTCTCTTCCTTGCTCCAGCCCTGTCCTCCTCTCTCTTTATAAGCTTTCTTGTAATCAGCCCAGCTTTTGGGGGCTTATCCTAACCAAGGCAGTGCTGGATAGATCAAACTCCCCACCTAAAACGCCTCCTTGCTAAGGAGGAGAAGGAGAAGAGGACGAATTACAGGATTCTTCTCCTGGTACTTTCCACCTTGGGCACCTTCTCTGCTTTCTCAGAAACCTCAAGGATGTGATGGGTTTCCATCCAGAGGTCTGTGCCTTTAGGCTGTTCTCTGATTACGGCTTTTGGTGACTGTTACAAAATAAGTACTGTGAAATCTGCTAGTCCTGCAGATCTGTGAGTAGCTTGAGCCTTTTAAGACGTGAACATCCCTTTTTGATGCTCTCTTGCATTGTGTCGCTTCCTGTTCTAAAGTTTTCTTGATGAGTAAATTGCAGGGACGGGAAACAAAGTGAGACTGTTGACGGGAGGCTGGAAGCATAATCCTGGGTATGCTGCCCACCTCAGTATGTGGGAACCAAGCACAAATGCTCCCAGACACCCCCATGGCACTTCCTGCAGCTCTGAGTACCCCATGACCCCATGTCCCTCTGCTCCTCACAGTATGGCCTGGTGTTTGATGCCGGCTCCACACACACATTGCTCTACATCTACCAGTGGCCAGCAGACAAGGAGAACGGCACAGGCATCGTCAGCCAGGTGGAGACCTGCACTGTCCACGGTCAGTGTGAACATAGGACGTGTCTGCCCCTCTGTCCCTGCCTTCCCGGTCAGTGTCCCAGGAGACCTGACACGAGGTTTCTTCAGAAGAGCAGGACCTGATGGAGCCAGTGGGAAGGGGCTTGCCACAAAGCAGAGCTCCTGGATTTCTGCTGATCCCTCAGGAGGCCTGCGAATGCTTTGGGCTGCTGCATTGTCTGCTCCTAAAATACAGCGAGTTAATTGAGACTTCTAGCCTACACTGGGTGAGAAAGGGCTGGGCTGGGCAGAAGAATAAAAGGAAGCTTCTACAGTTGAGAAGCTGTGGTTTAGAAAGCCTTAGGGGAAGGCTGCCCAGATGGGGCTAAAAAATTAGGTCCTCAGCATAGTTTTGGGAACTAGTCCAATCCTGCAGCTTGTGGTAACGCATGATCTGGCAGCCTCAGATGTTACACATGATGAGTTCAGTACTTGTCTCATGCAGTGGGTTCTATAGCTTTTCTTCCCATAACATCCCTTTACAGTTTCTCTTATGATGTAGGCTTCATGATTCCACAAGGCGTCCTAAAGATGCCCTTAAATGTTGTTGTGTCTCTGATGGTATGCAGTTTGTATGCAGTTTCTCATTGCTTTTTGGTCTACTGTCTTTCTGCTGTGTTTGAACACGACTGTCTTTTTGGTGTGTGTTTGAACAGCACCAAACACAACAGAGTTTTGGAATGTGACTGGGTTTTGTATATATTGCCTAGAAAATCCAGAGAAATCATGGGGCTGGGAAAAAGGGCTGGAAATGTTTCTCTACATTTGCTCCTTCATGGGAGGTCATGTTTCAGGACCTGGCATCTCCAGCTATGCAGACAGCCCTGCTCTGGCTGGAGCCAGCCTGAAGCCCTGCCTAGACAAGGCCATGACGATTGTCCCAGCAAAGCTGCAGAAGGAGACCCCCACGTACCTTGGGGCCACAGCGGGCATGAGGCTGCTGAGGTAGGAGGCACCGCCTGGCGAGCCCGGTGCCCCCGGCAGCCCTTCCCTCCCGCGCGCTCCTGCTGCCCATGAGGGCCCCTGCAGGCTGGGGGACGGGGTGCTGGTGTGCAGGAGCAGCTGCCCCATGGTGGGAGGCTGTGCCTTGCTGTGGGCAAGCATCCATTGGCGCAGTCTGCCCGTGATGTGCAGCAGAGCTGGCTTGGCGTGCTTGCAGGGGAGCGCGATGGGTTGTCGTGCTGTAAGAGGATGAGGAAGAGGGAGCTCGTGGGGCGGAGTGGGCAGACATGCGCACACAAAGGCAGCTGTAAGCGGTTTAGGGAGACTCCCAGTGCCCTTGGTCTGGTAGCTGGAGGGCAGAGGCAGCACCCAGACAGGGGAGAGGATGGGTGGAGGGACAGATCCTCTCTCTGGGCAGTCCCATTCCTGTGCAGGAGATTCCAGCCCTTGCATGTGAGCCAGCTCTGCAAACCCACAGCAACGGCCTCGTCCACCCCACGGCCTCTCTCTCCTTCCCTCGGTAGGGAGCAGAACAGCACCAAAGCGGAGCAGGTCTTTGCCGAGGTCGCCAAGGCTATTCGCCAGTACCCCGTGGACTTCCGTGGAGCCCAGATCCTCACAGGGGATGAGGAGGGCACCTTTGGCTGGATCACTGTCAACTACCTGCTGGAGACACTCGTCAAGGTGCGGCCTGGGGCAGAGGGGACTGTGCACAGCACCCATGGCCATGCCAGCTGGAGCCAGATTTAGGGATTCCCAGAGGGGAGAAAGGAGTCCTTTTAAGGCACGAGTCTCCCAAACAAATGCAGCCGGCTGTGAACCGCCCCTTTGGTTCTGCCGCTGGCGTT